ACAAATTGCTACAAATTTGGGTGGCTTAAAGGAACAGGAATTTATTCTCTCACAGTTCTGGAGGCCAGAAGTCCAAAATCAAGGTTGTCAAAGGGGCTGGTTGCTGGCAATTTTCGGCATTCCTTGTCTTGGGGCTACATCACCCCAATCTCTACCTCCATCATTGCCTGGTCATCTCCTCTCTGTGTGCCTGTCCCTGTGTTTCTTCTCTTCTTGGAGGGGTGCTACTCATATTGGATTCAGGGCCAACCCCCCTCAGTATCAACTCATTACAGCTGCATTACATCTGCAAAGACTCATCGTATCTTCTTGGCGGGTACAATTCAACCCAGACCACTGCTTGAGACGCCTCCCCAGGCACCCTCTGTGTTCTCCTGGACCACAGACACGTGCCATGAATGTGGTCTTGGTTCCAGCGTGGGAGCTAGTGGTTTGCACACCTCTCTCCACTTCGTAAGCAGGGACAATGTCTTATGTACCTTTTGCATCCCCCTACAGCATCTCATGCCTGACACTCATACCTGACACTGCCCAGAGCAGCCTCATCTGGAAGGAAGAAAGAACTTGGGCTTCTGAAAGGGGTATTGCTTTGAACTCCAGTCCTGCCAGCTCCTAGCCATGTGCCTCGGGGCAAGGTATTTAACCTCTAAGATTCCCAGTTTCTTGTCTTTTAGATGGTTATGATAACCCTACTAAGCCACCTTTAAGCCACAAAGGGAGTGTATTCTCCTCCGAAGAATGCCCAGTCCAACTGGGCCTTTTATCAAAGTCCCTCCCAGCGAGTGTGTTCTCAGAGCCTCCTCTCTAATGACCTTCACTAACCTGAATGAACCTGAAGGGCAAAATCACATTGTTCCCAGGTGCTCTGGACAGGAGCAGAGAAGCTTCAGAAGGCTGAGCAGTGACAGGTGTTTCACAAAACCCAGGTTTGACTGGGGAGGCTGGAGCGCAGAGGTGCCCCCGAGAGTCCGTGAGGCTGCTGAACGTGCTTAAAGCAATTAGCGCTAAGCAGGCCCAGTGATTTGCAGAGCAGGGAGCCCGGTAGGCAGAATCCGGGCTGCACTATTTTCTCCTCCGCGAGATCAAACGCAGACAGGTAGAAAGCGTCAAGCTTGAGTTGCCAGGGAAGTGACAGGCAAATGCAGTCAATAGAACTAATTAACTTCAGCTTCATTCCCCAGGTTACAAAGGGCCGAGTGTGCACAGGGAGCTGGCAGGGAAGCCGAGGGGTCCCTGGGCCTGCCCACCAACCTGGGGACAACTTGAAAGACTCCTCCCAAAGTGACTGCCCCAGAAGCCATGTGACACTCGTCATTTTTATTCACTTTTCACATAAAAACTATCCATTTTTATTTCTACCGCCTTCGGCACTCTCACTATGTTTGCATTCATCACGCGTCATGAACTAAATAATGTTTTTAAAATACCTCCAACTTAGGTCCAGATGAGCAGGTACAGTGAGGCCACTCACAACAGAAGCATTTAAAGCCTGGAACCTCTTCATTTATAGCATTAAAGCTAAGTTTAAAGTTCTTACATTGAGTGAGGCATCAGTGTTCTCTTAGGTTGAGAGCGTTATCTTTTGTGCTGGTCGTTGTTACGGCTACATCCTGATCACCTGTGTTAGCGAGTCGTGGTCTCCTCAGAGGAGCTGATGAAAACTGAGGACTTACTATGTGCCAGTGATGTGTTCATACAAAATCTGCGATCTCTCCTTTAACTCTCATTCCCTACATGGGAAGTGAGACTGTCATTGCAGGGAAATGAGATCAGCAGTTTGATGGAGCGGGCGCGCCTGGCCCAGGAATATCTCACCCTACTTCTAACTCTCTCTCCTCTGGACCACAGTGGCCTCTGGGTGTCTGCAAGGTCTCGAGGACCTAGCTTCTGTCATCTCCTATCCCTGCTTTCACAGCCGCTCCACACCACACCGCGCAGTGAGGATGTAATTGGGTGGGAGAGCCAGGAGCTGGGTCCAGCCCCACCCGCCTCCAAAGCCTCCCCACCCCTCAGGGTTCCGTCCTCGGCTCCACTCTGCAGCGTCCTAGGCATCTCTCCAGGCCTGTCATACCCTGTCAGTGGGCCACTGAGAACAGACCCTGCCTTTTAGAAAGTTAACATTAATTCAGAGAGGAAAAAAATGTAATCTTACAAATATGTATTTGCCAACTGTGATCAATCCCAGTATAACCATGAGGGGCCGTCGATGTCATCGTAGTGAGAATGTAACCTTGGCTTGAAATCTGAAGGGCAATTGCAAAACTTAGCAAAGAATGAAAAATAAATAAAACTTCTAAGAGAAGCACACAGAGAAAGCCCTTGAATTTGAAGGGATAAAGGCCTTTTTGCAGAAATGTGAGGTCAGTATGGCCTGAGTCGGAGGTGGGGGTGATCAAGGTAAACCTGCGAAGGCCCCTGAAAACCACGTCGAAGGTCCGTGCGGCCTTTGCTCTGAGAACAAGGGGAGGACTGAAAGTTTCGAGCCTAAGATAAACATACACAGCGATTCACGTGAAGGATTTCCATAGGCTGCTGTCTGGGAACAGATCAGAGGGGGACAGAAAGAGGGTGTGGGGATGTCGGCCACGTGCTGTGAATCCAAGGGAGAGACGGTGGGCTGCCAAGTCCATCCCACTGCCTGAGGAACCTCGTTCCTCTGGAAGCAGAGCCTGAGACAGGGGTGCTCGAGCAAGCGACTGGAGCAGAACAGGATGGGGAAGGGGAGTGATGGGAGGTCTGGCCTCATCCACAGGGAGCTCGGGAGCCTGCGGTGTGTCACGGGGTTGTGCAGCCCAGACACAGGGGCGGAGTCAGCCAGGGGCTCAGGATGTCTGGAGGGGTGGGCGTGGCGGACCCCGGCCTCTCGGACATCACCAGGCCAGGCAGCCCCTGCAGGTCAAAGGCAGGCCTCCAGAAAAGGGTGCAGGCGGGAGCCGTTAGCAGTCCGCAGCAGCATCCGCTACAGCTCCAACCAAGGACACAGGTGGTAATATTGATGGTGTCGCAGTCAGCCATGAGCCGTCACAGCCCATCAAGCACATCAGATGACCCAAGCTGCTTTCCATCTTCACCCCCTTTAAGCTGGGTGATCCAAGCCTCAGTTTCCCCAACTGTAAAATGGGAATATCTATGACAAGCCTGGGTTCCAGACTGGCTGTGCCCCTAACAATCTATGCGGCATTTCCCAAATAAAGGGGCAGAGCTCAAAGACATTTAAGTATGTTCTACTCCTTGGAATCTTTCAATGCCTAGGATTTAAGGACTCAAATTTCCAAGCAAAAACTTTCTTTTTTTAGTCTCTAAGCAGCTATTGTTCCCAAACCACTTGCTTCTTGACCTAGACTCCAAATTCCAAGTCCCATTTTGCCCTATGAAAAAGCAATTTGAGAACTGTTTAGGGTATAAATTTTCTCAGCATCACAATCACGGAAATGCCTGGGCTGAGTGGCTCAGCACCGACCCGCTGTGCAAATTTACAGAGTGTTCAGTTACCACTCATCTCTCACCTGCCGAGCCTCGGCATCTAATCCTGGACAATGGGCTGAGGAGAGGAAGTTTCTGCTGCCCACAAAGAAAGTTCCCCGAGAAGCCACGAGCCCCAGGGCCCAAGGGGAGAGCGACTTTTCCTTCACTTTTCAATGTGTCATCTTCCTCTTGACGTGTCACCCTACATCTTCCTGGAGAGGACAGTAACAGCTAGCCTGACATTGGCTTAGGGAATCTGAGCACAGGATGATTTCAAGGGCCAGAGGTTCCAGTGGTCGATGTTCGTGGGTCTTTACTGGATGTGGTTGGTTCACTCCCGACATGTGGCCCATTTCTGGGAGCAACCCTGGGCAGTGAAGATCATGCCCTTGACTCAAAGGACCCTAGGATGGGAAAAACGGTCCCAAGGACACTTAGCTTTCTCGGATTAAGTTGTAGATTTATTCGTCCATTCCTTATCCCACTGATATTTAATAAATATCAAATACATGCCAGGAGCCATGCTTGGAGCTAAGGATTAAAAGCCCAAAGACACACACTCCCTGCCCCCGTGAATGTCCCTGTCTCAGGGTGCACTGCTCTGCTCTGCCCCCTCCCACTTCGTCTCACGGGACAGACAGGTGTGAAGCTGGCAGTCACAGGCACACAGGGTGACCACCATGAGAGAAGTAAGCTCAGAGACCACGAGGCCTAAGGGGGTGGGCCACCTACCGGGGAGGGCAGGCGGGCGCATTCCAGAGGCAGAGCTGCACCTCAGTTTTGAGAGGTGAGCAAGTGCGGGGAGCCCTGCAGCCTGAGCAGAAGGGACTGCGGGTGTGAGGCGCTATACACCACGGGGACCGTGGACGGGCGCCTTTAGGGGAAAATGAAAGGGGACAGACATCGAGGTTAGAGACTCCCCGAGCAGCCCCCGATGTAATCAAGGACAATTCTGCGACAGTTCAGCCAGTGCCCGAGCGAGTGACATTATGGCATCAATGTTAACATGGACACTCTGGGTACAAAAAACCCGCTGACAAGGATAGAGCAATTGGCCCCCCCAAAAAGGCACAGATTTCTAGTCAAACATGGCCTCCCAGAGCAGAAGGGCCTCTGGCTACTGCCGAATGCAGGGACTTGAGGGCGCAGCTTTGCTTCTGCTGGGCCAGGCTCCGGCTCCCACAGCGATGACGTGTGAGGTCGAGGTTCTGAGAAAGGGGGTGGAAGGGAGAAATGCAGAAGGCGTGCCCGGTCTCCCCAAATCCCAGTCCGCAGTTTCCCACCGGGCCGTGAACACCAAGGAGGAGAGGGCTGTTCAGGCTGCAGGCGTCTCACATCCTCGGGTGCAAAGAAAACCAGGGCTGGTCCTTTAGGCCCCTCTGTTCATAGCACTGAGCATCCCGGGCGACCATGCAGACAGGACACCGTGGAAAGGCCCCCGGGCTTGAGCCCAGCGGGAGAAGCTCGGCCCGCAGCTCCACTTAGCAGCACAGGCAGGTGCTTCGCCCCCTCGGCCACCGGTTCTTCAGCGCACAATGGGGTAAGAGCACCCGGAGTCCCGGAGGGTTCCCGGGGACGCTGTGCGCCAGCCCCCAGCACGCTGCTGTTAAACGGCTTTCTATTTGTTTGTGTTTTGATTTTTTTGATTTTTATTTTTGGTTTGTGTTTGCTTTTTGTGACATCACAGAATTCTATTTTAACTCGTTCGTATTGCTGAAGGTCACCTTCCTGTCGCTGTTCTTTGCTTTCCTTCCATTTCTTCTCTGGTTACACTCCACCCCCCACCTCCCACCTGCCTGTGTTTCCTGCAGAAGTGAAGCTAATTCTAATGACCAGTTTGTGAGGCCATTGTCATTGTCACGCTGAAAGCAGCCATGGTGCTCTGAGAAGGGTGGAAGCTCAGAACATGAAATTTTATTTCCAAAGAGGCATCGACCACGTGATTAGGACCCAAACACGCTCCCAAAGACCCCACTGGTGTCTGTTCCTGGTTTGCGGGCAGCAGCTCATGAGTCTGACCGGTTTAGAATCGCAAAGATCCTGAAACCCAGAGTGAGTTTATTGTCCTAACAGGTGGTTACTGCACTTACCTCTAATTTAGCGTGAAGGCCCCAGCGGGTGCCCCCTGAGATAGCCAGGCATCCTTAGGATGAATTACAGCGCTGATCCGTGGGCGTGGGCCACCCTGCAGGTCCAGCTACAGAAGGACTAATCCACAGGGGTTTCAGCTGAGGCAAGCACTGGGGTAGAGCACAGAGTTGCTCACGGCTTCTCTGTGAGCAAGGACAGAGCCTGGATGGTCACCGATGGGTGATCAAAGCTAACAGAGGCTGGCAACGTATCATTTTCTCCTAGACCTTCCCCCCCCCCCAATCCTCACCCAAAGATATTTTTTCCATTACTTTTCAGAGAGAGGGGAAGAGAGAGAGAGAAACATCAGTGTGAGAGAGACACATCGATTGGTTGCCTCCCACATGCACCCCAACCAGGGCTGGGGATCGAGCCTGCAACCGAGGTCCATGCCCTTGGCTAGACTCGAACCTGGGACCCTGCAGTCTGAGGGCCAGCGCTCTAAGCACTGAGCTAAACTGGCCAGGGCTCTCCTGGACCTTTTTGTAAACAAGTGTATTTAGGCATTCTTTGCATGTCATGTAAGTCACCCATTTCGAGTATACAATTCAATAAATTTCTTTTAGTACATTTTCCAGGTTGTGTGACTATCACCCTAAGTCAGTTTTAGGACAATTTCATCATCTTGGTAAGATTTCTCGCAGCCATCGACTGTGAATGCCGGTCCCTCAGCTCCTCCCTCCTCCCCGGCAACCACTAGTCTACTTTGCGTCTCGATAGACTCGCCTATTCCGGACATTTCGTGTAAATGGAATCATACAATCTGCAGCCTCTCGTGTCTGGCTTCTTTCAATTAGCGTGTTTTTGAGGCCTGTCCATGTCGTAGCATATGGCGTAGTTCGGTCCTTGCTGTTGCCGAGTAATGTCCCATCGCACGGATACGCCCACACTGTCTGTCTGCGCGCCGGTTGATGGACACGTGGGTTGCTTCCCATTCTGGGCTCTGGTGACTCGGGCTGCTCAGAACACCCGTGTGCAAGCCTTCGTGTGCACGTCGGTCTTCGTTTCTCTCGGGTAGATACCGAAGCGTGGAAAATGCTGGGTCGTGTGGCACATCTGTGTTTGAGAAACTGTCTCCAGAGTCTTGACTCTTTTGTATGAGCTCGTTGGCTCTTCCTGCACGAGTAAAACGCTAGCGATTCTAACACGAGGACCACCCCCGGCTACCCTCTGTCCCTGTTCACCCCTCTCCTTACAGCCCAGAATTCAAAGCAAAAGCTGAAACTGTCCTTTCGCTCCTGGTTGCCCACACGTGGAAGAGATGGGCAGGGTTCGAACCACACAGGGAGCCTGCCGGGGAACTAATCAAGTCTTTTCTCCCTCTCTCCTTTCTGGCCCTCTGGTTCAGGATAAACAAAGTAACCTGCAGGGGTTACTGGGAGATCAAACCATAAGCCTCAGACAGTTGGCTCAGCTCAGGAATCATTAGTTAAAGTCTTTATCTTTAATGCTCTGAGCAAATGTCAACCATTATCTAATTATAATTTAAATTACAGGAGAGTTTGAGACACCTACTAAGCGCCTCACACAGAAGAAAATGAAGGTAGAAAGGTCATTTCAAATGAGCGGCTGACGGTCCCCATGATGAAAAACCCGGACCTTACAATACTCACCACATTTCAGTGCATAGGAGATAGTGGATCTTTCCCTTTTGCTCACCTCAATCCTATTGACAAAGATTTTTTTTAGGGGAAAGAAAAAAAAGGGTATTTGAATGTGGATCTGCCCTGGATTTACGCTCCCCCAGCGATAAACAATAGAAGCTGGGAGTTGGTCTTGGGGAACAGGAAACACATTGAAGTCATTAGGATATTAGGGGAGGGTAGGAGGCATGGGAGGGAGCAAGGCAGCCTAATTCTCAGGGATTTTGTTCCTTTTGTGTTCCTATACTTGAAAAGTGAATAGAATTAACTTTTACTGGGTACCTGGCCTCACATCACCTTTACTGAGATATTATTATTGCTCCCACTTTAGAGAAGAGAAACATGCGACTCAGGGCAGTAATGTCATTGTCCTGGGTCAGAAACCCAGGGTATGATCACAGACATGTCATATACCAGCTCTTTGGGGCACCTACGCCGAGCTCATTCTGCCACAGGACACCGTAAATGGCAATGGTGCAGGTGGGTTAGCCAGAGGTGTTCTGGTTAATTCTATAAAAGTTTGGCAAACAGCTCTCTGGAGGGATGTATATATGTGCATATATATGTACTCAAGTTTGTTACAAATTTTACAGATATAAAGGACATATAGTATATAATTTATANGATGTATATATGTGCATATATATGTACTCAAGTTTGTTACAAATTTTACAGATACAAAGGACGTATAGTATATAATTTATAAATNAAATTTTACAGATATAAAGGACATATAGTATATAATTTATAAATAATGAAATATATCATATTTTGTATTGTAAATTTCCATATAGCTCATTGATTCTCACAAAATTATTGCATTGATTTTTGCTGAACTCTTACATCCCTAGCCAACCTCTGGTTGCAACTTACAAATGAGTACAGTTCTGACATCAATAGTGATTGATAGTTTTCTGTAAGTTAGTGAGTAAAACAGAAGTAAAACAACAAAGAAGTGGGCCAGAACCTCACTAGTATGTCGGTGACGTGAGCAAATTCTTTGCTGATGCAGAAAACCTTTGAATCCTGGAAAAATGTTTTCTCTGTGTTTGTGCTAGTCACAATGTTACAGCTACAGACATAACACAATTTTAAATTAAATCTGCTTTATTAACATTCCCTCCATCATTTTCTTAAGTTAGTCTATCAACGAAGCAAAAAAATCACACCCTGATCTGTAGCATGTGCCAATTTCTATGGTGTAAATGTTCCCACTCTGGCCAAACTCAATACCAGTGTGAGGTCATTGGATGTGGAGCCAGGANCAAACTCAATACCAGTGTGAGGAGGTCATTGGATGTGGAGTCAGGGAGATGACAGTAGCATATTTCCATCATACAGACACATTAGACATAAACAGCACCCAGACAGTAGTTTAATGGCAAAGTGCAGTAAAATAATTAGGGAGTGGTGCCTGCGGAGTGTTTTATTGCTTTTAATTTTAATATAATTTATTCAATTGTAATTTTATATAATTTAATTCTTAACAACAGCTGTGTTTAACAACTGGCTTTCAATACTCCCGACATGTGAACCATCAGCTCTGCTGCGCAGTCTGAGCCGCTCCAGCACACCGGTGACCCGGGGTCGACGGTCTCCCTCCCTCCCCTTGCAGGGATCGTGCTGAAGACCTGTCATAACTGACTTTCTGTTAAAAACCCCTGAGCTTTCCTGAGCACTGCCAGTTACCAGTTGACCTTGGAAAAGGTACTTGACCCCACGATTCATTTCCTTCTTTATAAAGCAGAGCTGGTCGTACCTTCGTCACAGCGTCACTGTGAGGACGGGCAGAATGATGACCACTGGGACTAGACGGTGCACCTGCTCAGTAACTAGGAGCTTGCGCCCTGGTCCCCCATCATAGGTGCTGGGGCTCTACATCCGGGGCAGGTGCCCAGAACAGCACTGGCCCCGGTTCACTGCAGTTTCTGCCCTTACTGCACCCAGAGCTAACAGTGACCTGGTGGCCTCTCTGGTGAGCGAGCAGGTACCCAGGAGAAGCAGTTGTGAGTCACAGCTTTTCAGTGTTAACTCACCTCATTCTCACAGCAGCCTGAGAAGCGAGTGTTCTTACTGGTTTCATTTGGCTGATTGGAAAAATGAAGGAAATCAAGTGACTTCCCCAAGGTCATGTTAAACCTACCCCAGGTGACGTGCACACAGATCCCAGGGCCTCTGGCTTTGGTGCAGATTCCCAGCCTGCAGGGCTGAGGGGCTGCCTCGGAATCTGCATTTCTAACCAGTTCACAGATGATGATGCTGGTCCAGGGACCACCCTTTAATGAGGCACTGGACTGCCTGGCAACTGTCAGTCTGACCTCTGTATCTGAGTCTGTTTCTGTTTTGTCTGTTCATTCATTTTGTTTTTTAGGTTCAACGTGTTAAGTGAAATCAGACGGCATTTGTCTTTTTCTGCCTGACTTGTTTTACTTAGCATAATGCCCTCTAGGTCCATCTATGTTGTCGCAAGTGACAAGATTTCAGTCCTTTTCCAGTTCAGTAACATCCCGTTGTGTATATGTACCACATCTTCTTTATCATTTAATGATATCCACATTAAGCCGAGATTAATTCTGGGTAGCAGGGTCGGAAGAGGAATCAGCCCAAGCCTCAGCTGTTGTTACTGGGATAACAACGCCTCCCTGGTCGCCTCTCTCACTCCCCCACCCCAGGCCCCAGGCCCCAGCCAGCATCCACTCCTGCCTGGGTCACTTCAGAACCTCCCCAAAGGTCTCCCTGCTTCTGCTCATCCCCCAAGGGTCCCTCC